AGCGCAACCAAAACTCTGGCCTGGTTTCGACATTCAGTGTCTCATCAGCAGTCAGGCTTGGCGCCGTGCTGGTGAACTGCCCTGCAGGGAGGGCCCCTGCCCCTGCAACACTTGGGAGTCACCCACACAGATGGGTGGTGAATGTGGGATCGAGGCCATCGTTCATCAGGGGCGCCCACAGAGAGTGGAGTAGAGACAGTTGGGATCTGTTAATGAGATAATCATCGATGTTGGCCCCGATTTTGTTTGTACAGTACTCAATTGATGAGCACAGGCCACAAAATGAGAACGTCAAAGGCCAGCAACAAACAAAACCGTCAAAGTTGTAGCATAAAGTGTGTAAACGCGTTCCCTGTGTTGAGAACCGTCATTATCTGAACTTGGGGAAAGGGGCGATGACCGGAGGGAATTCCAACGTAGAGCAGTACGAGCGAGGAAGCAGGCAGCATATACATGAGGTGGTCTGCAGCGTGGATGAGATGAAACTGTATGTGGTAGAGACCGAGGCCTCAACGCGGGTGGAGGAATCAACGAGTGAAGTTCACGGGAACAGTAACCATGGGAGTGGCGAAGAGGCGGACGACCGCCTGAGACAATGCAATATCACCCTGATGCGGAGGCACCGCCTTCACGTGTGATGGATCACACACGCACTCCTTACACGTGGGCTTGGGTTGCCATCAACCGGCTCGTAGCCACGTTGAGATGGGTTCATCTCTATCTGCACGGGGATTGAGTGTTACCCCTCGCACGCCTGGGTTTTCTCCGGGGTTTGCGGTTTCCTCCCACATACATTCCAATATAGGCCGCTAGTCCTTCCGCTGCCCCCTGACCTCCCCTTCCACCCAGAGGTATATTCAGAGGGATGTTCAAAAGTATGTATGTTCAGAGGGATGTTCAGAGGTATGTATGTTCAGAGGTATGTATGTTCAGAGGGATGTTCAGAGGGATGTTCAGAGGTATGTATGTTCAGAGGGATGTTCAGAGGGATGTTCAGAGGTACGTATGTTCAGAGAGATGTTCAGAGGGATGTTCAGAGGTATGTATGTTCAGAGGGATGTTCAGAGGTATGTATGTTCAGAGGTATGTTCAGAGGGATGTTCAGAGGTATGTATGTTCAGAGGTATGTATGTTCAGAGGGATGTTCCTGCGGCTCGGGGGAAGGAGAGTCTGGAAGAACCTGAGTACGAACACAGTGGGACTCCTCGCCAGAGTAGTGAGTCAGCGAACTTCACCGACGACCAGAGAAAATAGAACAAGTGAAAGAGACATTGACACAGATACAAAGTTCGAGTGAGACAGGCGGACACGTACAGAGACACAGGGAGATAGTGAGAAACAGAGATATTTAGGGACAGAGTGAGACAGACACAGATAAACAGTGTGACACACATTGTGATATACAGCGCCGTATAGACCAAGGCCGTAGCCATGGAGTCAACATTGGGGGGGACCAAATCTTCCAGGGGGTCTGGTCCCCCCCCAGAAAAATATCTACATTTGAAAACGAATTTCCTGCCTAAAATATAAAAATAACTAACACATAAGATGGACTTTTTATGTATTTTTTACAATAATGTCTAATAGTGTATTGTATTACATTGCTCTGTTTTTTTTCTTTTTACCTTTTCTTGCTTCATTGCTTGTAATGGCAGAGATTAGGGATTCATAACGTACAACTATAACCACAATCATATAAACAGAAATCTATTTTATAGCAATATATTGCGGGGGACATTTTGAGCATATTTGAATATTGGGGGGGGGGGGGGGGGGATGCCCCCCCCCCAATATATTGTAATTACGGCCTTGGTGTAGACAAAGACAGAGTGATAGGGATCAAGCATGAGACGCACAGAGAGAGAGACATAGAGACACACGGAGACATACAAATAGGGAGTCAGAGTGACAGTGATCCTGGTAAATGGTAAGGGCGTCACAGAGGACAATGCTTCGTGAGCCCCCAGGATTTCAAGTTGAACTCAATTTACCTTGAACCAGGGGACAAGGTGCGTCTCAGTAATATAAATATAAAGTGACTCATCGCTTGCTTACATGTTCGGTGTAACGGTAGACGGCAGGCCGGGAATATTCATGGGTGATTCAGGTTGTCAGGCGCTCTTAGCCACCTGCATAAATACCCGGTGGTTCTCAGTCGTGTGTGCTGGTAACAAGGTGCGTTCCTTGCCCTCGCCGCAGCGTGGAGTTTGTCGTGGACTCAGGGCCTCTTCTGCATGAGCTGTGCCCTAGAAACTCGTGTTCTTCAGAACAAGGAACCACAAGGACCGAGAGCGGAAACTCTGTGGACTGGCGTGGAGGGTGGACGTTGTGAGACATTGCTCTTTTCGTATTTTCTTTGTGGCCCTGATACAGAATCAGGATCTTTATTTTGACTGGAAGAATCCAGACTGGAAGAATCCATACGTTTCGATCGCAACACAAGCAATCGTCTTCAGGTGAACAAATAGAGCAGGCAGACTGCTCTCTGAATTTCACCCCCACCATCTCACCCATTACGGCAGCCCTTCCCCACCCTCGGATTTGCCGAGGTTTGCCTGGCTCTGCGATCTTACATTTACTTGCAAATTCCATCTCTAGCCCTGACCACTTACCCTTGGGTTGTACCCACCTCAAACCTTTATAACCTTTGGTTGCAGTAGCTCTCTCGCTACATTTCTTCCTGCCTCAGCAGTCCACCTGCTCTATTTTTTCACCTGAAGACGATTGCTTGTGTTGCGATCGAAACGTCGTGGTCTATTATGTTATTTTTCTATCTACGTGACTTAACCGAAAGAACCAAAGAGTATGGATTCCTGCAGTCACGAAAGCTTCAAATCAATATTGGAATAATACAATGAACTATGATGCTGTTTTTTTTTACAGATGTCCAGTTGGGGCGGGTGAGCAAGTTAAAATAACAAACAATACAAAAACACAATAGGAGTGCAAAATTAAGAAAAGGGTAAGCAAGTCACGAAATACAAATATAGGGAAGTCCTCGACTTACGATCACAATTAGTTCGTGGGACCCGTTCGTAAGTCGGAACATAAGGGTGTGGGTGGCCAGCAGCATCACGCCCCCGCCTCAATTGTGGCGATGTTTTACGCACCGCACCAGGTACTCATTTGAGAATGAATCGACCTAGGAAGAGGCCGAGGAGCGATCCAGATAATTGTGACTGGTGTTGGCCGTGAACAGGAATCGAGCTCGGGTTCCACTGGGTTTGTAGCGCAGCTCGCTAACCGCTACTCTACCGCTCCCCGCACACACTACTCACTCAGCTTCTCTCACACTTGCGGACAAACTCACTGCACGCGCGACGCTGACTCATTCCATCTCGGAGGATGATCGATCGCTCCAACGGTTCAGTTTGCAAGGTGCAAATTCGCGTTTTAAGGCAATGTTTACAAATATATATAATTAATGGAAGATGGTTCGTAAGTGCGGGTGTTCGTAAGTCGGGTGTTCATTCGTCGAGTACTGCCCGTGTACATCTTGGCATTAAGAATTAGGAATTAGTTGTTGTTTTGGTGATAAATGTATTTTTGCGGCTGAGTTTATTCTCTGTATTTTGAGAACCGGAGAGACCGCGTGAGTGGATGTGGATGAGACTTACACCTCCGTCGCAAGGACCACAGAGGTTTGGGCAATAATTGTTAACGCCGGTTCTGGCTGCGGCCTTACCAAGCGTGCGTCGCCGTACGCGGTTTGAGAGAGCGTCAATTATCACAGTGATCACGGTGAGAGGAGAAGGATACAGCAGTGAGACGGACCATCGCATCTCTCAGTCTGGGCACATTACAGACATCGTTGCCGCCTATCGGCAGCCTCGTGCCATTGGTACTACGAGGCGCTTGGATTTGCAGAGGGATGTTCAGAGGTATGATCAGAGGTATGTATGTTCAGAGGGATGTATGTTCAGAGGTATGTATGTTCAGAGGGATGTTCAGAGGTATGTATGTTCAGAGGGATGTTCAGAGGTATATTCAGAGGTATGTTCAGAGGTATGTTCAGAGGGATGTTCAGAGGTATGTTCAGAGGTATGTTCAGAGGTATGTATGTTCAGAGGTATGTATGTTCAGAGGGATGTTCAGAGGGATGTTCAGAGGGATGTATGTTCAGAGGGATGTTCAGAGGGATGTTCAGAGGTATGTATGTTCAGAGGGATGTTTAGAGGTATGTTCTGAGGGATGTTCAGAGGGATGTTCAGAGGTATGTATGTTCAGAGGGATGTTCAGAGGGATGTTCAGAGGTATTTATGTTCAGAGGGATGTATGTTCAGAGGGATGTTCAGAGGGATGTATGTTCAGAGGGATGTTCAGAGGTATGTATGTTCAAAGGGATGTTCAGAGGGATGTTCAGAGGTATGTTCAGAGGGATGTTCAGAGGTATATTCAGAGGGATGTTCAGAGGTATGTATGTTCAGAGGGATGTTCAGAGGGATGTATGTTCAGAGGGATGTTCAGAGGTATGTATGTTCAAAGGGATGTTCAGAGGGATGTTCAAAGGTATGTTCAGAGGGATGTTCAGAGGTATATTCAGAGGGATGTTCAGAGGGATGTATGTTCAGAGGGATGTTCAGAGGGATGTATGTTCAGAGGGATGTTCAGAGGTATGTTCAGAGGGATGTTCAGAGGTATATTCAGAGGGATGTTCAGAGGGATGTATGTTCAGAGGGATGTTCAGAGGGATGTATGTTCAGAGGGATGTTCAGAGGGATGTATGTTCAGAGGGATGTTCAGAGGGATGTATGTTCAGAGGGATGTTCAGAGGTATGTATGTTCAGAGGGATGTATGTTCAGAGGGATGTTCAGAGGTATGTATGTTCAGAGGGATGTTCACGAATCGAATGCCTCGGCGGTGATTCTGGCTCCCGTGTCGCGAGGCGACGCAGCGAGTCTCGATCGATGTAGTGGGTGGGGGGTTGGAGGGGTGTGGGGCAGTCGGGGGGGATCCGGATCCCAGCTCACATATGGAACCGGATCCTCATTCACGAGGATCCGGTTCCCTGTGAGCGGCGGCGGCAGCAGCAGCAGCAGCGGCGATGGCGGCGTCGCCCCCTCGCGTGGTGGAGTTGGTGGCAGCGGCGGTGGCGTCGGTGCGCGTCCCGCGCCCCGGGGACCGCGTCTACAAGGACGAGTGCGTCTACTCCTTCCATAGCCCCGTGAGTGGCGGCGGGGGAGGAGAGGGCGCGGAGAGCGAGAAGCCGCGCGCTGCTCCCCATCTTTAACCATTGTCAACTGCGTCCTCCCCATCAGTCGCCTTCATCAAGCCGCTTTGAGCCGCGCGGTGACACGTGCTCATATCCACCCGAGGAAGCGCTCATTCGCTACGTCAATGTGTCAGCATAACAGGGGTATCATCACCTTGTCAACATCATCACCACCACAATCATCATCATCAATCGCTGTCACCGGCGTCGAGTCGCCTCGTCCCGTGAGTGGCGAGCCCGCGACCGCGTCGTGGGTGGGGGAGTGACGCGGGCGAGGGGTGGGGGCGAGTGACGCGTGGGCTACGATGCAAGTGAGGTGTGGTCGGAGGGGGAGGGAGTGACGACGCAGGGGTCAGGGGGGAGTGACGCAGGGGTGAGGGGGGAGTGACGCAGGGGTGAGGGGTGAGTGACGCAGGGGTCAGGGGGGAGTGACGCAGGGGTGAGGGGGGAGTGACGCAGGGGTCAGGGGGGAGTGACGCAGGGGGGAGTGACGCAGGGGTGAGGGGGGAGTGACGCAGGGGTGAGGGGGGAGTGACGCAGGGGTGAGGGGGGGAGTGACGCAGGGGTGAGGGGGGAGTGACGCAGGGGTGAGGGGGGAGTGACGCAGGGGTGAGGGGGGAGTGACGCAGGGGTGAGGGGGGGGGACGCAGGGGGGAGTGACGCAGGGGTGAGGGGGGAGTGATGGATGTCGCCGTAATTATTGAGCAAAAAGTCCCGTCTCATCAAAGCGATCAACATCGTCACGAATGTATAAGCGAGGCCTCTTTCTCCCTGTAAATGGAAGACTTATGGGAGCGAAAAAGGTTAATTTGGTGGAAGGGACATGGGGGAGATGGATGGAGAGAAAAAAGGGAGTTGGAGTGATAGAGACGAAGGAAGACGGGGAGCGATGGGTGGGAGTATGCAGTGGAGTAACTCGATGCTGCATCACATTAATACCAACGATACCCGCCATTTGCCACAAATTGACAGTGACGTCACCACTGCACCTGTGCCAGGCCAGGTGCACTTTGAAGCCATGCGAAGTGTCGAAGGCTCGCTGACAGGAGGTCATGGGCTGACTGACTGACATGACTAGCAGATGCACAAGCTGCCCCTTACTGTGCCAACGTGTTCCATTTTAGCCGCCCAGCGCTCTGCTCGTTGTGAACGTCGCTCCTCAGCTCTTAGTTGTTTGTTGGAAGGCGATTTGCCTCCAACTGACCAGGAGCGTCCTTCACGAGCCGCCTCTATAGAGGCTGATCTTGTCACCGCTGGTACCAGTCTTCAGAAAGTCCACTCAGCTCCACATCCTTCCATACCACATCAATCCATCTCTTCTGCAGCCTGTGACACGCCCGTTTAACCCCCTCTATCTGGCCAAACCGAAGCTGTTTGTGCATGCAGTAGTTAGGCAAGCAGGTTACATGACCTGGCCAACGCAGCCTTGCCTGCCGGAGGAACTCGCCAATAGGAATGTGTCCAGATCTTTCAAGGATTTGTGAGCTAATAATTTAACCTGGTTAAACTCAGGATGGATCGTAGGCAGGCCCTCCTGAATGTTTTTAACCGGCGAAGATGTTCCATTAAGGGGGTCCACGTTTCACAAGTATAGAAAAGGGAGGACATGACTGGCCGAGAAGACCCGAAGCTCCTTGTGGAGCGACAGACCAGGTGGCTCTCACACGGTGTTACACAACCAATGGAAAGATAATGCCACCTGACTGATTCGGAGTGAGACCTCTGCTCGAACCAGAGCTGGTCATAACCATGCTGCCCAGGTATGGAAAACTCTCCATTCCACAACTGCTCCATCACCAATGGGGAGTTGAGGGGGTGGGGTGTTTGATGGCAAAAAAATACTCAGGCAGGTACTTAGTTTTGGTGGGGCTGATGGTAAGACCCCACCTCTTAATGGCACACTCCAGGTTCAGCAGCAGCACCTCCAACTCCTCCTCTGAGTGAGCAGCAATCAGTAGAACATCAGCATACATTACATGGTTGACCAGTAGTGGTCCCCACTACCCCACGACCCATAGATTAGGATTTCTAACCAGGTGTATGGCATTGGGGGCCATCCATAAATGACGTCATTCACCTAGGCGAGGGTCAGACATTTGTGACGATGTGTGACGGGGGGCGGGGGGGTTTGAGAAATGTGACGTCAGATCAAAATGCGCAACTTTAAATATAGACAACACGTCCTACTTAATTAAATAGACTTTTTAAAAAATGTTTTCTCCTACAACATCAGAGTGCAGTGGCACATTAAGTACGCACGACAATGACAATAGTTTGAAGCATTTTTTTGGGGGGGAGGGGCAGAGCTTTGTGACATCATATTTGAGGGGGGGGGGTCTGACTTTGTGACGCCATGTGACGTCATTTATGGACGGCCCCTTGTGGATTGTAGGATTCCCAAGCGTGCTGTACAATTCCGTCGTCAAAATAGCGACTTGATTTCCTATTCCTTTTAATGGAGATCCAGGATTCCCTGTTGAAGTTATTGGGGATTTCTGGGAGTATTCTAGACTTAATATTAGGTTCGTTTCATTGACGACTCCTGCTATGACTTCGCGTGACTGCCCCCTCTCCCCCATGCTGTAGGAGATGGAGGGTGGCCTCTACTTGTGTCTCAACTCCTTCTTGGGGTTCGGCCGCGAGCACGTGGAGCGGCACTACCGCAGAACGGGGCAGCGCCTCTACCTACACATCCAACGCACACGCAAGCAGGCACGTGTACACACACCATGCACAAATATCCCTGTATAGCCTACACAGACTGTTGGCGCAAGTGCTGTTAGTGACCACCTATTAATGCCAGTATGGCACAAGAGGGGGTGGGTGGCCAGCACCACGCCCGGATGCCTTTGTCTCACTCGTGGCGATGTTTACTATACACCACACCAGGTACTCATTTGAGGCTGAGTCGACCTAGGGGAGGCCTAGGACCGGTTCAGATAATCGTCACTGGTTTTGGCCATGAGCGGGAATCGAACTCGGGTCGCCAGGTTCGTGGCACGTCGCGCTAACCGCTACACTTTCTCTCCCCTCGTATACATACCTGCCTGCTCACATACGTATTCGTCTCCACACACAAGAAACAAAGACTTCCCATAAAGCCTTCACTAGACTCTTAGGGAAATCTTCTATACATACTCGTACAAACGTGTATGGGCAAACACACGTGTACATGCACAGAAACATGAGTGAGTGAGAGGTGAGTGAGAGGTGGGTGAGAGGTGGGTGAGAGGTGGGTGAGAGGTGGGTGAGAGGCGGGTTAGAGGCGGGTGAGAGGCGGGTGAGAGGTGGGTGAGAGGTGGGTGGGTGAGTGAGTGAGAGGCGCGTGGGTGAGTGAGAGGCGGGTGGGTGAGTGAGTGAGAGGCACGTGAGTGAGTGAGAGACAGGTGGGTGAGGGAGTGAGAGGCAGAGAGGTGGGTAAGTGAGTGAGAGGCGGGTGAGTGAGAGGCGGGCAGGTGAGTGAGTGAGAGGCGGGCAGGTGAGTGAGTGAGTGAGAGGCGGGTGAATGAGTGAGAGTCGGGTGAGTGAGAGGCGGGTGGGTGGGTGGGTGAGTGAGAGGCGGGCGGGTGAGTGAGTGAGAGGCGGGCGGGTGAGTGAGGGAGAGGCGGGCGGGTGGGTGAGTGAGTGAGGGGCGGGTGAATGAGTGAGAGGCTGGTGAGTGAGAAGCGGGTGGGTGGGTGAGTAGCAGGTGGGTGGGTGAGTGAGTGAGAGGCGAGTGGGTGAGTGAGTGAGAGGCTGGCAGGCGGGTGAGTGAGTGAGGGAGAGGCGGGTGTGTAAGTGAGTGAGAGGCGAGTGAGTGAGTGAGAGGCGGGTGGGTGAGTGAGTGAGTGAGAGGCGAGTGGGTGAGTGAGTGAGAGGCTGGTGGGCGGGTGAGTGAGTGAGTGAGGGCGGGGTGGGTGGGCGAGTGAAAGCGGGTGGGTGGGCGAGTGAGAGGCGGGTGGGTAGGCGAGTGAGAGGCGGGTGTGTGAGTGAGTGAGAGGCGATTGAGTGAGTGAGAGGCGGGTGGGTGAGTGAGTGAGAGGCGAGTGGGTGAGTGAGTGAGAGGCTGGTGGGCGGGTGAGTGAGAGGCGGGTGGGTGACTGAGAGGTGGGCGGGTGAGTGAGGGAGAGGCGGGTGGGTGGGTGAGTGAGAGGCGGGTGGGTGGGTGGGCGAGTGAGAGCGGGTGGGTGGGCGAGTGAGAGGCGGGTGTGTGAGCGAGTGAGAGGCGGGTGACTGAGTGAGAGGCGGGTGAGTGAGAAACGGGTGGGTGGGTGAGTGAGTAAGTGACAGGCGAGTGGGTGAGTGAGAGGCTGGCGGGCGGGTGAGTGAGTGAGGGAGAGGTGGGTGGGTGGGTGAGTGAGGGAGGGGTGGGTGGGCGAGTGAGAGGCGGGTGGGTGAGTGAGAGGCGGGTGAGTGAGTGAGTGAGAGGCGGGTGAGTGAGTGAGAGGCGAGTGAGTGAGGGGCGGTTGAGCGAGTGTGAGGCGGGTGAGTGAGTGAGAGGCGGGTGAGTGAGTAAGAGGCGGGTGAGTGAGTGAGTGAGAGGCGGGTGGGTGAGTGAGTGAGTGAGAGGCAGGTGGGTGAGTGAGTGAGTGAGGGGCGGGCGGGCGGGTGAGTGAGGGGCGAGCGGGTGAGTGAGTGAGAGGTGGGCGGGTAAATGAGGGAGAGGCGGGTGGGTGGGTGAGTGAGGGGCGAGCGGGTGAGTGAGTGAGAGGCAAGCGGGTAAATGAGGGAGAGGCGGGTGGGTGGGTGAGTGAGTGGCGGGTGGGTGGGTGAGTGAGTGGCGGGTGGGTGGTTGGGTGAGTGAGCGGCTGGTGGGTGGGTGGGTGAGTGAGGGAGGGGTGGGTGAGTGAGTGAGAGGTGGGTGAGTGAGTGAGAGGCGGGTGGGTGGGTGCGTGAGTGAAGGGCGAGCGGGTGAGTGAGTGAGAGGCGGGCGGGTAAATGAGGGAGAGGCGGGTGGGTGAGTGAGTGGCGGGTGGGTGGGTGAGTGAGTGGCGGGTGGGTGGTTGGGTGAGTGAGCGGCTGGTGGGTGGGTGGGTGAGTGAGGGAGGGGTGGGTGAGTGAGTGAGAGGCGGGTGAGTGAGTGAGAGGCGGGTGGGTGAGTGAGAGGCGGATGAGTTAGTGAGAGGTGGGTGAGTGAGTGAGAGCGTGTGGGTGGGTGGGTGAGTGAGTGACTGAGAGGCGGGTGGGTGAGTGAGAGGCGGGTGGGTGAGTGAGTGGCTGGTGGGTGGGTGAGTGGCGGGTGGGTGGGTGAGTGGCTTGTGCGTGGGTGGGTGAGGGAGGGGTGGGTGGGCGAGTGAGAGGCGGGTGGGTGAGTGAGTGAGAGGCGGGTGGGTGAGTGAGAGGCGGGTGGGTGGGTGAATGAGGGAGAGGCGGCTGGGTGGGTTAGAGGTGGGTGGGTGGGTCAGTGAGTGAGAGGCGGATGAGTGAGTGAGAGGCGGGTGGGTGAGAGGTGAATGCTCACCTCCCATGTGCTATGGGCAGGAGGAGGATACAAGTGCAGCCCGAGACGAGGACCCCCCTCGCAAGAAACCCACGCGGCTCGCCATCGGTAACTCACTACTTCTCGCAACACACATACAACAACAACAACCGCCATTCGCCACTAAGTGGCGGTGACGTCACCACGACGCTTGTGCCAGGCCATGTGCACCTTGAGGCCCCGCTGGCAGGAGGTCACGGGGCAGACCCAGGTGCCACAGTTCGACTGACTGAGATGACTGGCTGGTGCACCACCTGTGCCCCCTACTGTGCCAACCTGCTATACTTTAGCCACCCGGCGCTCCGCTCGTTGTGAGCGTCGCTCCTCCGCCCTCCGTTGTTGTTGGAGGGCGACTGCCTCCAACTGCCCAGTAGCGTCCTTCACGAGCCTCCTCCACAGAGGCCGATCTTGACACCGCTGGTACCAGTCATCGGCAAGTCCACTCAGCTCCACGTCCTCCTGTACCACATCACTCCATCTCTTCTCTAGCCCGTGCCGCGCCCGTTTAGCCCCCTCGATCCGGCCGAACAAAAGCTGTTTAGGCATGCGGTGGCTGGGCATGCGGGCTACATGACCCAGCCAACGCAGCCTTGCCTGCCGGAGGAGCTCACCGATGGAACCATACCCAGATCTTTCAAGGATTTGTGAGCTCCTCACACAATCCAGCCTGGTTAAACCCAGGATGGATCGTAGGCAGGCCAGCCTAAATGTTTCTAACCGGCGAAGGTGTTCCATTAGGGGGGTCCACGTTTTGCAAGCGTAGAGAAGGGAGGGAATGACCGTGGCCGGGAAGACCTGAAGCTTAGTGCGGAGCGACAGACCAGGTAGCTTCCACACAGCGTTACGCAACCGATGAAAAGATATTGCCGCTCGACTGATTCGGAGTGAGACCTCTGCTGTTAAACTGGAGCCGGTCATAAGCACACTGCCCAGGTATGGGAAACTCTCCACTCTCTCCACAACTGCCCCATCACCGATTGGGAGTTGTGGGGGTGGAGTGTCCAATGGTACAAAATACCCAGGCAGGTGCTTAGTTTTGGTGGGGCTGATGGTAAGGCCCCATCTCTTAGTGGCACGCTCCAATCTCAGCAGCAGCGTCTCCAACGCCTCCTCTGAATGAGCAGCTATTACAAAATCATCGGCATACATAACGTGGTTGAGCAATAGGGAGCCATCCCTTGACCGTACCCGGGCATCGATCAGCCTCCCATTATATCTGTACCATATGGAGATTCCCCCGGTACAGCTATTGAAGGCTTCAAACACATACAATAACCATTACTCACAAGTACTTATATCTAATCACTACTTCTCCCCACCATACCAATCACTAATCACCACAAACACATACCGCTTGCTCACTCCTAATTCACTGTATCCTTCCCGCCGTCAATTATTCTCAGAACTCGCCCACACACTCACTGCAACTTGCCCACACACTTGGTGGTGCTGATGGCAGGCGTGTTGGTGACGGTGGTGTTGTTGTTGATGATGATGTTTCTGATGGTCATATTGATGGTATTGATGATGTCAATGATGGCGCGTAGGAGTGGAGGGCGGGTTCTCGGTGGAGGCTGACCGGGCCGAGTATGATGAGGTCGTGAGACTGGTGGTGTTCCCCGAGTATCTGCGCCTGAGTCTCCCCGAGCTCGAGCAGCTTCCGGCCATCGCCCGCGAGCGCGTGCGTGACGCACCGCACCACACCTTACCATTTAGCACACCGAATCGCACCACGTCACACCGCATCACGCTGCCCGCCGCCCGTGCACCGTGCCCCCAGGTGAACCAGGCATGCACTGCGGTGCTGGCGGCCGACTCGGCGTCGCGGCGCCAGGAAGTGGAGGCGTGGGACGGGGAGGTCAGGAACGTCTCCCCCCACGCGCTTGGCCTGCAGCAGCTCGACAACGGCGTGCGTATTCCTCCCAGGTAAGATTCCTCACTCGCTCCCTCGCACATTAACAAAAACAGCCACCATTGGTCACACAGTGCCAATGCCGTCACAACACAGTTCTTGTGCCGGGCGAGATGACAGATCCAGCTACCATAGGGTTGACTTGCTAGAATTACTGGTAGATGGAGCACCTGTGCACCATACTGTGCCAACTTGCTGCGTTTTAGCTGCCCAATGCTCCTCTCGTTGTGAGCGTCACTCCTCTGCCTTCCGCTGTTGTTGGAGGGCAACTACCTCCAACTTCCTAGCAGCGTCCTTCACGAGCCTCCTCCACGGAGGCTGATCTTAACACTGCTGGTGCCAGTCATCTGCAAGTCCACTCAGCTCCATATCCTGTACCGCATCAGCCCATCTGTTACCTTGCCCATGCAGTTCCATTTAAATCCCCTTGATCAGGCCAAACATAATCTGCTTGGGCATGCGGTGGCTGGGCATGTGGGTTACAGGACCCAGCCAATTGTTCCTTTCCTGGCGGAGAAGTTCATCAATAGAAATGGTTCAATCTTTCAGAGATCTTTGAGCTCCTCACACTTGTTATCCAGTCTGATTATACTGAGGATGGATCATAGGCCGGCCAGCCTGAATATTTGAAACCAACACAGATATTGCTTTAAGGGGCTCCACGTTTTAGCAACCATAGAGAAGGGAGTGCATAACTGTGGACAATAATACCCGACAAGTATTTCCTGGTAGAAGAGGTCATATTAGGCATTTGACTTGCCAGCTTTGCTTGCATCCCTCCACTACTTTTCATCTTCGGTGGAGACTTAAGCCACCACCATAGGGAGGCGTGCCCACAATAGTCTGGGATTATCCACTTCCCACACCTCCGTGCCTTGCTCCCACGCCTCCTTCATTAATTTGTGCAGAATACCTTTGTATCACAGTTTCCTGTTCTGAATAGAGGATTGTCCAGCCCTCATAGTTACTGGATCTAGAACCAGTCCACTGGACCTCCAGTATTCCACAGAGGTTCAGACGTTACCAGTCCAGCTCATGACAAAGGAATAATAGCCTCTCCTCCACATTGAGTGTTAAATAATTCCACGTGGCCACCCGCTGTGGTATCCCACAGTTTCTGCAGAGACCCCAGCGGGGAGGGATTTCAGTCTCCTGGATCCACCAATTGGGGTTTTCCAGGAGACGTCACAGCCGCCTGTCCCTTTGAGGCCTTTCGCACAAGCTTATGTTATTTTATTTGTCGTATTTTGGTAATTTAATTGAAGGTGGAGGCATTACCAGCCCCTTGTACTCGTCCAGAGCCCCCTTTGGCCGCTGTGGCAGCTGTGAACACGCCATGAAGAGAAAGCTGATTATAATCAGTCTTAACTCGCACCCTCACTCACACCCGAGACTCACTTGTTTTCAGCCTGCATGCACTTTTTCTATGTAACAAGTTTCTCGTAACTTGTATAAAAAGCGTTAAAATTGTTTTATTGACAAACGATTTGATGAAGCGCGAAACAAACCTCTCTCTTCCCGTGTCCGGGCAGCGGGTGGAAGTGCTCGCGCTGCGACATGCGTGAGAACCTGTGGGCGAATCTGACGGACGGCACGGTGCTGTGCGGGCGCCGCTACTTCGACGGCACTGGGGGCAATGGCCACGCACTGGAGCACTTTCGCGAGACTGGCTTCCCGCTCGCCGTCAAGCTCGGCACCGTTACGCCTGACGGCGCCGGTGAGTGGCCAGCCCCACAGCACCAGCTGCGCATGTCTCAATGCCGGGCAAGCGCACGGCGAGTTCCGGACCCCTGGGGTAGCAGAGGGGAAATGGGTCGACCTCCCTCTAAGTGAAGGTCGGCCAGGGGCTTCATTGATAAAAAAAAATAACACGACTCCTGAGATTCCTTGCACTGACCTCTTGTCCACATGGGAGGAGAAGTCTGTAGGAGACTACGGTCCGTACTTGCGATGCCCTGACTCCGGTCATTGTGTAACTCTCTCACATTGTGACCCCGTGACCCCACGCAGATGTGTTTTCGTACGCGGAGGATGAGATGGTTCTCGACCCGAGTCTGTCCGATCACCTGGCGCATTTCGGCATCGACATGATGGCGATGCACAAGGTGTGGTACACACACGTGCATACACAAACGTGTTCTCATTACGCATACACATGCATGCGCGTGACCATGTCCCGTGCCTCCATGTCCCGTGTCTCCATGTCCCTCCCGACTGGCAGACGGACAAGACAATGACGGAGTTGGAGATCGACGCAAATCAGCGCGTGGGCGAGTGGGAGGCGCTTCAGGAGTCAGGGACGCAGCTCACGCCACTCTATGGCCCGGGCTACACGGGGATGGCCAACTTGGGGAACTCCTGCTACCTCAACTCCGTCATGCAAGTGCTCTTCAGCGTGCCTGACTTCCGCAGCAAGTACGCAGTCGTGTTGGTGTGCACGTAGTTGTGTTCCTGCATGTGTGTGTGTGGAGCAGTGGCACAGCGGATAGCGCACTGCACCATGAACCCTGTCACCCGAGAACGATTCCCTCTCATGGCTAGCAATAGTGGCAAATATCTGAACCAGACCTGGGCCTCTCCCTAGGTCAACTTAGCCTTAAAAAATTGTACTTGGTGCATTGGGTAAAATATCAGCACTGGGGAGCCAAAGGCCGCAGTAAATGATTACGCCATATGCTATGCCCTCTCAATTACTCCTGAAAACATTTTGTAAAGAACAACTTTGAGTACCTTGTGTGGTGTATCATTCATCACCACTATGGAGACAAAAGTGCCAGGGCGAGTGGTGTCGGCCACACCAGCCCCTCACGTGTCGAGTTGGTCTTCAAAGCGACTCGCTAACATCACTTGCCCCAACATCTTTGTGGGATCTTTGTTGAATACAGGCAGACCTAGCAGAACGCTGATTCATTGCAGCTCTATGTCCTGTAGACATTTTTTTGTAAAAAAATGTTTAAATAAAATACAAAGATATAAAAAGCGCTTGCAAGTAAGAACATGCAGTTCTGGCCGAGAAGCGTACCCGCCCAATCATTCGCTCGGCCAATGAGAGCGAAGCATGCTTTGACCCCGTTCCTCCCACGATTCGATTATCATGGTTTGTAGTAACAATTACATCTAAAAAATATCAACAACAAAAAAATCTGTGAGCCAGTTGAGATCTTACAAGATGAGGACAGAATCACAGGCTCCACTGCGAAGACAAAGGTCGGTCGAGCATGGTGCTGGTCACTCACCCCCTCGTACCGTGCCGGCCTTCATAGGTGCTCGCTAACAGCACTTGCCCCAACAGTCTGTTAAGGCTGTTGGGGTTTTTGTGGGATAGTCACTACTGTCTGTGTATAAGTATGTGGATGGGTTGTGTGTGTGTGTGTTGGATAATCACTGCTGTCTCTGTGTATAGGTATGTAGATGGGTTGTGAATTGTGTGGTCCCCCTTCTTGAGTACCTTAAAGAAAAGGGGGACTGCAACTACAGGGGCATCTCCCTCATTGTGCCCGGAAAGGTCTTGGCAAGGATTATTTAACATCGCCTTACCTTGCATGCTGAGGTGAGCCTTGCGGAACCCCAATGTGGTTTCAGGCTAAGGCGGTCCTGCGCAGACGCCATATTCTCTGTCCGTCTGCTGCAGCATAGTTGTAGGGAATCGCAACAAGACCTACATGTCTGTTTTATTTACCTGGTCAAGGCCTATGATTTTGTCAATAGGCCTGGGCTGGTTGTTTTTCATGGTTTTTGAATCCCTGACTCTCTGCTCACAATCATCAAGTACTTCATGATGGTGGGCAGGCCCAAGTAACTCTACGTGGCTGGGAGTCAGAGTCATTCCCTGTTCACCTGGAGGTGCGACAGAGATTTCCTCTGGCTCCTACATTATTTAACCATTTTTTTCAACCACGTAGTGGTACAGTTATAACGGGAGGCTGATCGATACCCAGGTGCGGTCAAGGGATGGCTCACTATTGGTATGGTGATGTTCTGGTGATTGCTGCTCACTCAGGGAAGGAGTTAGTCATTGCTGCTGAACCTGAAGCGTTTTACTAAGAGGTGGGGGCTTCCATTAGCCCCATCAGAACTAAGCACCTACCGAGGTATTTTGTGTCATCAGACAGCAGAGATCTTACTCCGAATCAGCCGAGTAGCATCTTTTCATTGGCTGCGTAACGCTGTGTGGAAGCTACGTGGTATGTGGATCCACACAAAGGTGTGGGTATTTTTAGCTACAGTCATTCCCTTCCTTCTCTTTGCTTGCGAAACATGGACTCCCCAATGGAACATCCGTGCCAGTTTGAAACAGCCAGGCTTTCCTGCCAGTGATCCATCCTGGGTTTAACCAGTATGGATGGTATTTGGAGCTCACGAATCCTTGAAAGGTTTGGACGATACCATCAGTGAGCTCTGGCAGGCAAGGCTGCATTGGCTGGGGCATGTCGCCCGCAAGTCAAAACAACTTTTGTTTGGCCAGATAGACAGGGCTAAATTTGCGGAGCATGGACTCGAGAAGAGAGGGACTGATGTGGTACCAACGGTGTCAAGATCGGCCTCTGTGGCGAAGGCTCATGAAGGACGCTACTAGGCAGTTGGAGGCAGTCACCCTCCAACAACAGTGGAGGGCAGGGGAGTGATGTCACAACAACAAGCGGAGTGCCGGGCATCTAAAACAGACAGTTGGGACAGCGGACACAGGTGGTGCATCTGCTAGTCATCTAAGTCAACCCATTGCACTTAGGTCTGTCCCTTGACCTCCTGCCAGAGCGATCCTTCAACAATTTACTTGGCCTTAAAGTGCCAGTAGCCTGGCACAAGCGCTGTGGTGATATCACTGCCACTTTGTGACGAATGGTGGTTGTTTTTGTTGATGTCTGTCTCGCTATGTGGATAGGTAATGTGTGTGTGTTGAATAGTAACTGCTGTCTGTGTAGGTATGTGGATGGATTGTACAGGCAGTCCTTGACTTACGAACTTCGTCACCGACAAACCATCTTCCTCGAATTTTTTTTAACATCGTCTTAAAAGACAGACTATTTTGGCAAAACTATTTTGTTCAGCGGGGTTATCCTCCTCGACATGTAATGAGTCAACCTTGCGCTGGGAATTAGTGCATGTGCGTGTAAAAGTGAGTGTGCGCGCATGTGTTTCTGTGTGTGTGTGGATTGTATGTGTGTTGAATAGTCACTACTTTCTGTAGGTATGTGGATGGGTTATGTTCGCGTTGGATAGTCACTGCTGTCTATTTGTAGGTATGTGGATGGGTTGTCACGGATCTTTGAGGAGAGCCCCATGGACCCAGCCCAGGACTTCAACACACAAGTGTGAGTCCTATCGCTAAGCACACAGCCCACAAGCTCCACTCTATCACTGCGAAAACAAAGGTGTCTGGATGTGGTGCTGACAATATAGCCACGTAGTTGTGTGTGTGTTAGCAAACTGGGGATCGCATGTGGTGAATCTGCCATCTCAGTCAGTCGTAACACCTGTCCCCGTAACCTCCTGTCAGTGAGCCTTCCACACTTCATGCGATAGCCTTAAAGTATGCCTAGCCTTTGAAAATGGTGTGGTGACATAACCAACACTTAGCACTGAATGGCCGCTGTTATATATGTCTGGGCGTGTCTGCGTGTTTTTGTTCCATGTGTAGTGCAGCCCAACTATGCGGAGACGAGGAATACTATAAGGGCTGGTTGCCGTTTATTAAGACACGTTCTCACACTGCATCCTACACTCACACCAGTGTAGGTGCACTCTATTCTCCATCCTTCACTTGGACCTGGGATAACTATATACGTTGGTCCTACTTCGGCTACCCCTAGGCTCTCTCACCCGTCTGCCTGGGGCGGGGGATCAGCCAACACCACCCCGCGACGAGGAGAGAGAGAGACCTCTTCCAACCGATCCTTATCCTGGCTCCCCGACGACAATCACGTGTCCGTCACGTGGTCCCCCTTAAGAACCCTCTCAGTAGCTCTTCCCCCCAGCTCGGCCCACCCGCTTTCCCGAAAGTGCTTTCCGAAAGTCCCCCTACGTAACCCGTGACGTTACGTCATCTTTGGCCTCGCATAACTCTCCAGCAACTCGCACTTCCTTACGCTCATCTCTCATTGGCTGCTCACAGTACTCCTCTACACATGTATTGGAGTAGCGAGGAGCACTCAAGCGAACTGCTGAGGGAGGGTGGCATTTGTGTGCAGACTGCTCGATGTGACATCATTAAAACTGTCTGGCCACTAGGATGGGTTCTGCAGGATTGGAAGGATGCCCTGGTGGTCTCCTTTAAAAATTACTGTGGTCCCTTTTTTATGCAAGGGCTCCACTAATTGCAACAACTACCGGGTCATCTCCCTCCGTGCGACAGAAAAGGTCCTCGCAAGGGTTATTCAACATTGCCTTGCCAGACATGCTGAGGAGAGGCTTGCGGAGTCCCAATGTGGTTTCAAACAGGGGCGATCCTGCAGAGACGCCATATTCTTTGTGCGTCAGCTACAGAAAAGCTGTAGAGAATTTCAACAGGACTTACATCTGCTTTATTCACCTAGTCAATGCCTATGATACCATCAATAGGCCAGCGCTCTGGGTTATTGTTCATGCTTTCGGAGTCCCAGACGCACTGCTCACAGTCATTAAGGATCTTCATGGTGGTGAACAGGCCTGGGTAAAACTGTATGGCTGGGAGTTGAATCAATTTTCTGTTCACCTTGGGGTATGACAGGGATGTTATCTGGCCCCTACACCATTAAACATCTTCTTTTACCACGTAGTTTGAGAAGCTTCCCATGGATGTGTAGTGATATACTCAGAGACACAAAGAGTAGGAGGCACTATTATAGCCTTCACATGACATTGACTTCTCCAAGACGGAGGTTCTTTGCAAACCAACCGGCTACCATGAGAGATTCGTTCATGAGGCCATTCACATGTACAAGCACAGAGACAACTTCAACCAAGAAGATGGATTCTGGCTTAGTAACCATTGGAAAGATGTTTTAAACCATTTCCGTTCTTAGGAATAGGTTTTACCCTTTTAACTGGCACAAAACTGACACCTTTATTCAAGGCATCATGTTTGCAATGACCACAACACAAGCAGTCAAAATGCAAACAAAAAAGACAACTCTGATAATAATATGCACTGTCCTTGAATTTGATTGGTCCACACCCGAGACAGCTTTTCTTAGAGCCTAGTCTCCATTGGTGTTGGACCAGAAGACGCCAAAAGGCGTACAACTCAAAAACAGCGCACTATCAGACTATTGAGGGCTCGGGGTGAGCATTAACATTATGAGACCTCCTTTGCCAGAAACAAGATATAGAAATAGGTTTTACCCTTTTAACTGGCACAAAACTGACACCTTTATTCAAGGCATCATGTTTGCAATGACCACAACACAAGCAGTCAAATTCTTGTTTCTGGCAAAGGAGGTCTCATAATGTTAATGCTCACCCCGAGCCCTCAATAGTCTGATAGTGCGCTGTTTTTGAGTTGTACGCCTTTTGGCGTCTTCTGGTCCAACACCAATGGAGACTAGGCTCTAAGAAAAGCTGTCTCGGGTGTGGACCAATCAAATTCAAGGACAGTGCATATTATTATCAGAGTTGTCTTTTTTGTTTGCATTTTGACTGCTTGTGTTGTGGTCATTGCAAACATGATGCCTTGAATAAAGGTGTCAGTTTTGTGCCAGTTAAAAGGGTAAAACCTATTCCTATATCTTGTTTCTGGCAAAGGAGGTCTCATAATTTCCGTTCTTAATTAATTGTATTTTACGATGACCTTCATACCACAGCTCTTTCACTGGCATTGACTCTTAATACCTCTCACACCACGGTTAATGGTATGGTTTACACCATGGAGTATAACAGCGCCTCGCAGCTGTCTCTCTCCCCCTCCTCCGTTCCGACCATGGATGAACTCGTCCGTCTAAACGGGGCCCGTAGCTATCCGTGGTGCTAAAGTTGAGGGTAAGAATCCACCCATTTTTTCGCCATATAGTATTGTGATATATAACGACTTATTGTTGGTAGCTTAGCTGATTGGAGAATATATAGAGTTTATTGATAACATTGAGGTAATTTATATTTTAGTTTTTTATTGGTTCACTATGTAGTATTCATTATATAGTGTAGTGTATACCCAGTTACTGTGAATAGCTCAGATGTGTAGGCTTTGACTTCAACATAGCCATTTCTGTGACCAGTCACAAGCTAATCACCCAGTTATTTCCATGCTAAATTCTCCTAGTTATTTCAATGCTAAATTCTCCTGTTTGATTTGTACTAGGTGCCTCTGTGAATGTGTATGCTCTGACTTTAACATAGCTATTTCTGTGACCAGTCACAAGCTAATCACTCAGCTATTTCAATGCAAAATCCTATGCTAATTCCTTTGTCAAGGCGCTTTGTTTCTTCTCACAAAAGCTTAAAGGTCGCGGTCTGAGCTTGGCTGTGTTCGCTCTAGCGCTGTCCTCCAGACAGTCTCGTCCCTTCACCTGATGAAGGCCGCTTGTGTTGTGGCCGAAACGTCGTGAGAATTTTATTGTGTTATTTTATTTTATCAATGTATTATTTTATTCTCATTCTACGTGACTTTACCGAAAGAACCAAAGAAGAAGAGGGTAACTACACTTACAGTCAGGACAACTAACAGAGACTGCCTGACTGACAACGCCGAGATGGTGAATACTGTAACTAAGACTCCAGCAGCCCGATGGGATTCCACTCCAAGCAACAGCCCCGTGCCTTCGCTCGGGCCCCTTTTTATCTTCCTAGCTTGGCCTTGCTCCGCTCCAGGCCACGCCCCCCTTCTAGAACCTACTCGCGGGTTCCCGGGCTTACCTCTCGTGCCCCCTCTATCACCTTTGCCCTACATCCCTCTCTCTGGCTTAACACGTTACCTGCTGACACAGGGCTGCTGCAACTGCAGATCCCCTTCTCTGCCAGCAACCAGCGCTATGCTCCATAGTGACCCATTCCATGTCACTACAGATGTACCGGTGGAATTTTTGTTCTATCTGGTATAGATACAATGGAAGGCTAATCGATGCTGTGTGCAGTCAAGGAATAGCTCCCTATTGATCAAACATGTTATCTATAAGGATGATCTAGTAATTACTACCCACTCTAAGAAGGAGTTGTAGATGCTACTAGTGAACCTGGAGTATGCCACTGAGAGATGGAGCCTTACCCTCAGCCCCACTAAAACAACGGACCTGCCTGGGTATTTTATGTTGAATGTTCGCCTCTCTCCACTCCCCATAAGTGATGGAGCAATTGTGGAGAGAATGGAGAAGTTTCCAAAACTGGCCAGTGTGCTTATGATCAGCTCCAATTTGGCAGCAGAGGTCTCACTCCAAATGAATTACGCGGCATTATATTTTAATCGGCTGCGGCGTGACGCTGTGTGGAAGCTACCTGGCCTGTCGCTCCACATGAAGCTTAGTCTTCTCGGCTACGGTCATGCCTTCCCTTCCATGTGCTTTTAAAATGTGGACTCCTCTTAAGGAACATCTTTGCCGGTTTGAAACATTTGGGCTGACCTGCCTACGGTCTATCTTGGGTTTAAACAGGCTGCATTGTGCGAGATGCTCACAAATCCTTGAAAGATCTGGACACATTCCCATCAGTAAGCTTCTCTATCAGGCAAGGCTGGGTCATGTAGCCCACATGCCAAAGCAGTTTCTGTTTAGGTGAATAGAGGGGGCTAACCGAATGTGGCACGGACTGAAGAGGAGTTGACTGATGCAGTCCAGAAAGATGTGGAGCTGATTGGACTTACCAATGACTGGTACCAGCAATGTCAAAATCGGCCCCTGTGGAGGTGACTTGTGAAGGATGCTACTCGACAGTTTGAGGCAGTGCCCGGCAACAACAGCGGAGGGTGGAGGGAGCAACATTCACAACAACGAGTGGAGCGCCAAGTGGATGAAACGCAACAAATTGGGACAGTGGGGAGCACAAGTGGTGCCATCTGCCAGTCATATCCATCTGAGTGTTCCATGACCTCTTGCCAGCAAGCTTTCCACACTTCACGTGGCCTTAAAGTGCACCTAGCCTGGCACAAGCGCCATGATGATGTCACTGCCATTTAGTAGCGAATGACGGCTGTTGTGTGTATGTGTGTGTATTTGTCATCACAGAGCGAAACTTGGCCATGGTCTCCTCTCTGGCATCTACTCGCAGCCACCCGCTGACACAAACAGCACTGAGCAGGTACATCAAACAACCACCAGCAACATTATCACCAGCACCATCACTAAATCTACCATCAGCACCACCACCATCGCTACCATCTCTAACACCGCATGTGTGCACATGTGCACTAGGTGGAGCAGAAGGGAGTTTCTCCACGCATGCTAAAGACTCTGATTGGCCGAGGACACCCGGAGTTCTCAACTAATCGGCAACAAGATGCACAAGAACTCTTCCTCCACTTCATCAACCTCATCGAGGTGGGGAAACACGAGTCGGGGGGGGGGGGGTATGGTGGTGGTGATGCATGTGAGTGTATGTGTGTGATTGTCAGTGTGTGTATATTGTAGGAGTGTTAATGAGTCTTATTATGCACTTGTATGGATGAATGTATGAGTTTGCGTGGGTGAGAGTAAGTCTGTGTGTGGATGAATATGTGTGTATGTGCGCATTAAGAGACACCGACATAGTTGTGTAGCTGCAAAAGGGCTGTGCGTGCGTGTGCCTTTATTTGAGATGCGTTACGTCGATTTGTAAACTATTTTATAATGACAATCATTTTCATTGGTGCCTTTGCCTTTACATGTATTCCATTTGCACACCTCTATATGCATACACTAGCGGGAAGCACCCGGCGTTGCCCGGGGGAATAATATATTGAAAAGCTTCTCAAAACTGAAAAACATAACATATAAAAATGAAAGAAAAAAAACTTTGATCATTACATCATTAACATTTTTAGATAAAACCCAATGCACGGTGGAAAAAAAGTACGCTCCCGCGCCAAGATTCGATTCTTTAGATCGCGCAAAGGAATCGAAGGTTGTAGATTTCTTCAGAATCGGCCTATTCCCGTTTAATCGATACCACAAACGCTCACCAGATATCGATTCTCGCCACACGCTTCATGGTCATTTCCCCCCACCCCCCAAAATACAAAAATACATTTTTATACGTTTTACATTGTGTACAGTATGGTAGCTAGCCACATGGCAAATTAAAAGTTTGTTACCTATTTCCCGCCCCCCCCAACCGCGCATTTGTGCGGGATACACGGCCTACGCGCCACATGCGGGTGACATGACAGAGATGTGACATCACCGCTCACTTGCATGCAAAATATATGTATTATTGCACACCCCCCACCCCCCCCCCAAAAAACATCCTAAATTAAATTTGTATAATTTTTGCATGGTGTACAGTCTGGAAAGTACCCACATTGTTGCATGTCGGGAAGTACGTTAAACATTTTGAACAGACACACATTCGCAAATTTCCCTTTTATATACATACATAAGCACACATGAATGATTGTGCGTACATGTGCACACATCCACTCACGCATACACACATGTGCTGACTGTAGCGCAACAGCCGGGGAGCGGAGAACCCGACAGAGGCGTTCCGCTTCCTGGTGGAGGAGCGCATCCAGTGTCAGCGTTCACAGCGTGTCAAGTACACACAGCGCGTCGACTACATTGTGCAGTTGCCCGTTCCTATGGAGGCGGCTGCCAACAAGGGTGAGCGCACACGGGGGTAGAATGTTAGGGGGGGGTGTTGGGGGCGGGTGTGAGAGAAGAGGCACGGTAGTTGACGGGGCGAGTTGGTGGTGGCCAGTGTGTGGCGATGGGTGAGGTTGAGAGCAGCTGGAAAGGGCAGTGTGAAGGGGTGGCTCGCCTTGCACCTCTTGTCTTGTGACACTCACTCTAGCGATGCAAATTTGCGACGTCCTCTAGCAACGCGACGTTCTCCAGTGACGCAACGTCGTGACGTTGCGCCCCTGTCCAAGGTGAGCTGGAGGAGTACGAATGCCGGCGCCGCGAGTCCGAGGCGTCGGGCTGCCCGGCGCCCGAGCTGGTACGTGCACACGTGCCCTTTTCCGAGTGCTTGCGCGCATTCTCTGAAACGGAGAGCCTCGACGACTTCTGGAGCAGCGCCCTACAGGCCAAGAGCCACGCCATCAAGTAAGTCTCACTTGCGCCTATAGAGACACACTCACAGAGGCACAGAGCCATGGCATCCAGCGAGTCTTGCTCACATCGAGACAAAGACGGATATCACACGTTGCTACGCAATTACAACCTCGCACATGCATGTATGCATATACATGCGCACAGAGGCAGGCTCAGTGGCACAGATCCTGGGTTTGAGTCTGGGTCGTAAACAACCCATCATTCAACCGGCTTCTCAAGTGTAGTGAGTGGGATGGTCCCAGCCCGGTCACCAATGACTGTGTAGTGACATACGACGTCACTACTGTGTCGGGACTGTACGAGCGTAGGAACATGAATCACTACTGTGTTGGCTCGGTATGGGTGCTGTAGGCGGGTGTCACGGGGGTCGTGTCAGGCCGTGGCACTCTGCGTGAACCCAACAGGACACGTGACCCGATAAAGGGGGCTAGGGGCTCCAGGAGGGAGCTTGGGGGTCACGTGGTTGGGGGCCCGGACCTTCTCGAAGGATCGAGAAGGGGGGCGTGGCCTGGGGCAGAGCCGGCCACGCCGCAGCGGTTATAAGTGGGGCGTGAACAGAGAAGCAGGGCTGTTCAACCTTCATCTTCCCATTGGGCCCATTCTGTGACCTTTCCCCGAGATGTCCCCCCCCACGTATATATCGTAGCCTGCTGACGTGAGTACTGCTGTACACCGCACTTACCCTTTTCCAACAGCAGCCAGCGCTATACCGCTACACATGTAAAACCTTTATTGAATTAAGCAAGGTTATTATTGTGAGAGCTTTGGAAAAGAACGGTGATGGGAGGGAATTCCAAAGCGGAGCAGTGTGAGGGAAGAAGTGGGTCATAATGCTTATTTTTCTAAAGGAAAGTGTTCTGTGATTGATATGTAACAACTGCTCTTAGCAGGGTGTATAATAGGTGTGCCCCTCGTGTACATCAATGGCTGTGGGAGTATCGTGTGCAGTTGCATCATATCATCTTGCAGAGTGATGAACTTGCTCACTGTGTGAGCTCCAGGGTTGTTCGTCCCACGAGAACCCGGCGCCATGGTTGTGTGATAGTGGTGTTCCGTGTGCGTGTAAGTAAGAATATGCGTTTTATCCCCCAACCCTTGTGCGTGTCCCACGTTCAGGACGACCCGTTTCGCCTCCTTCCCCGACTTCCTCGTGATCCAGGTCAAGAAATTCACGTTCGGCCTCGACTGGGTCCCCAAGAAACTGGGTAACGCGCCGCCCGTCCTCTCTGTTCGATTGTTTTTGTTCTAATTCTGTTTTCTTCTCTATTAGACTTGTTTGGATGTTATCAAAGTCAACGATTTTCTTTCTCAAATGAGCATTGAGACAGTGCTCATATGCTGATGGGGAATTCCAGCCCGGAGCCAGTGGTGAAACATGCACATTCCAATGCCAGGGGTGAGGATATCCCATAAAGTGGGTACGCATGTTGTCAACTCTGGAAGGACGATGGACCGAGTTAACTCTCAACCAGGATTTGAACTAAAACACTTGCTATTGTGCCCTGCTTGCTCTACCGTTGAGCCACCATCCCAGTTAAGTACTTATTGCTGTAGTGCTTTGATGGCTTAGGTCACTCCCCTTTAACATGTAGGCTTTCATGACCAATATCCATAATACCTGTTTTTTGGGTTAGATCGCGTAAATATATAAATGTGTCGTTAAACCCGCCACCACCCGACATAATGTGCATGCATAATGTACGTTAATTACCATCTAAATAACCCATACGACAATGGATACCCATAGTCATTTATATGCATTCATTAATCCCCCCCCCCTCTTCACATCAACCCCTCTATTTAAGGAACGAAACAGGAGGACTTTTGTCGCCTGATGAAGCTAGTTATAATTACTGGCAAAACGTTGTACTCAGATTATGAATCTTGATTTGAAGCTTTCGTGACTGCAGGAATCCATACTCTTTGCTTCTTTCGGTAAAGTCACGTAGGTAGAAAAATAAAACAAAATCAAAATAATATATCACGACATTTCGATCACAACACAAGCGGTCGTCCTCAGGCAGAAAAAATAATCCAGCAGTGGAACTGCTGAACCAGCGAGAGAGCTGTTACAACAAGCGGTTATTTATGTGGCGATAGGCAAGCAAGCGGGGTCTGAGCTGGAAAGGTATTCCATCCATGGACGTAAGCACGTCAGTTGTGTTCATTGGGAGATTAGGGAGAGAGAGATTAGGGAGAGAGATTAGCATGAATGAGCTTCCGTCGCCGCATAAGAGTATCATCCCCGCATATGTGCACAACAGCAGTGTTAATGAGAGATTAGCACCATGAGAGTGCAATACAAAGGACATGTGAGCATAAGAGTGCAATCCAAAGGACATGTGAGCATGAGAGTGCAATCCAAAGGACATGTGAGCATGAGAGTGCCTTCCAAAGGGCATGTGAGAGATCTAAGAGAGAGGCACAGATAAGAGAGACACAGAGTCGGAAATAACAGCTGACATAGGCAGGTAGGATGGAAACATCACAGTCAGTTAAGACTTTACCCGGCTAATAACGTCCTACAATGATTACTCAGTTCGTACCCATCTTCTCGGTTGAAGTTGTGTCTGTGTTTATATATCTGGATGGCTTCATAAACAAATCTCTGAACTTTATTTTTATTTTATTGTGTTATTTTATTAATTTATTATTTTATTCTCATTCTACGTGACTTTACCGAAAGAACCAAAGAAGATGAATCCTTGCAGTCACGAAAGCTTTAAATCGAAATCTCTGAACGTAGCCGGTGGATTTGCAGAGTACCTTCGTCTTGGAAAAATCAATTTCGTGTGAACCCACAGCGTTAAAACAATGATCAGCAACGGCAGAGGTATTGGTCCTACCGTGTTTCAGATCTGCCTTGTGTTCACGAACGCGGTCCGAGACATGTCGTTTCGTTTTCCCAATGTAACTGCTGCCACAACCACAACTCAGTTTGTCTGAGACACTGCTTCCTTTCACGGGCAAGACCCAGCTCATCTGTATTTAACTCGGCTCACTTGGTTTCTGTAATCAAGGACATCTCACTGTCTCCAGATGATTTGCTTGTCAGTTTCGATGTCATCTCCCTGTTCACCAAGGTACCTGTACCTGACACCATTGCAATCATTGAAGACTTGGTCCAACAAGGACTGAATCCAGATGTACCAACTTTGGTAAGGCACTGCCTTACCAACACTTACTTCACCTGGAATGGTACATTCTACAAACATAATGAGGGTACCCCAATGGGTTCTCCCTTATCGCCAGTGGTAGCGAATGTGTTCATGGAGAAATTTGAGACAGATTCCATCTAGACATCCACCCTACGTCCTTCCTTGTGGAAGAGATACGTAGATGACACGTTCGTCATCTGGCCACATGGTCTGCCAGCACTTAACCAATTTCTCAACCACATCAATTCCATACACCCGTCTATCAAATTCACCATGGAAGTGGAAAAGGATGGCAAGCTACCATTCCTGGATGTTTTAATCGAGAAGAGACCTGATGACACTCTGTCTACAGGAAAGCCACCCACACGGATGCCTCTCTAAAGCCTGACTCCCACCACCATCCAGCCCAGAAGAATTCCCTCATCAATACACTACACCATAGGGCCCGTTGCGTCTCCGACCAGCACCACCTAGCCAGTGCGTTGGAGCACATACACAAGCCCTCAGGATGAACGGATACTCTGACCGTACAATCTGCAAAGCTGTCTCCCCAGCGATGGGGAGACAACCTTCTGAGGATCCAACCAAAACCATCACTTTACCATACATAGCAGGGGTAAACAAACACAAGATCCAGGTTCGTTTCAACACAGTACACAAAATCCATGATTTGATCCCATCTGAAAGGATATGATTCCTGACATGCAATACCCTGGTGTCTACAAACTGAGTTGTGGTTGTGGCAGCAGTTACATTGGGGAAACGAAACGACATGTCTCAGACCGCGTTCGTGAACACAAGGCAGATCTGAAACATGGTAGGACCAATACCTCTGCCGTTGATGATCATTGTTTTAACGCTGTGGGTTCACACGAAATTGATTTTTCCAAGACGGAGGTACTCTGCAAACCCACCGGCTACCTTCAGAAATTTCTTCATGAAGCATTCCAAATATATAAACACAGACACAACTTCAACTGACAAGTTTGGTACAAACTGAGCAATCATTGGAAGGACGTTATTAACCAGGTAAAGTCTTAACTGACTGATTTTCCATCCTACCTGCCTATGTCGGCTGTTATTTCCGACTCTCTGTGTGTCTCTCTCTCTATGCCTCTCTCTTAGATCTCTCACATGTCCTTTGGATTGCACTCTCATGCTCACATGTCCTTTGGATTGCACTCTCATGCTCACATGTCCTTTGGATTGCACTCTCATGCTCACATGTCCTTTGGATTGCACTCTCATGCTCACATGTCCTTTGGATTGCACTCTCATGCTCACTTGCCCTTTGGATTGCACTCTCATGCTCACATGTCCTTTGGATTGCACTCTCATGCTCACATGCCCTTTGGATTGCACTCTCATGGTGCTAATCTCTCATTAACACTGCTGTTGTGTGCATATGCGGGGATGATATTCTTATGCGGCGACGGAAGCTCATTCATGCTAATCTCTCCCTAATTTCCCCCATTAACACAAGTGACGTGCTTACGTCCATGGATGGAATTCCTTTCCAGCTCAGACCCCGCTTGCTTGCCTATCGCCACATAAATAACCGCTTGTTGTAACAGCTCTCTCGCTGGTTCAGCAGTTCCACTGCTGGATTATTTTTCCCGCCTGCGAATGACCGCTTGTGTTGCGATCGAAACGGCGTGATATATTATTTTTATTTTGTTTTATTTTTCTACCTGCGTGACTTTGCCGAAAGAACCAAAGAGTTCAGATTATGAATGTTGTGGCTTGGCTCTCCAACACACCGGCGTGCTGTACTTGTAACGAATTGGCATGTTCTGTTTACGTGATAAACCTTACTAATTGGCTGTGTCAGGTGGTGGCAGGAATTAACAACACATTTATATATTTACGTGATTTAACCCAAAAAACCTGTATAATGGAGACTCCCCTTGTCTCGAGTTTTCACCTGGTTACACAAACTTAAGGTTTAACCCTCTGGCTCCCGACCCTTGCCATTAACCCTAACGGTTGCCCTCTTCTCCTGTGTGCCCGATGCGTTGTCTCATCTCCTCCGCTCGGTCAAGACGTCTCCATCGACATGCCTGAGGAGCTGGATCTGTCGCACCTGCGGGGGGCGGGGCTCCAGCCAGGGGAGGCGGAGCTCCCGGACATGGCCCCGCCTCCCCTGGCCACCCCGGATGAGCCCCCGAAAGGTATCGGGATTGGAGAGAGGGGCGCCCTCCTGTCCCCCGACACCATGCCGTCTAGTTAGTAGCCTCTTCCTTCTTCGCTTTCCCTCCCACTGCTTCTCGCACTCGCCATGGAATCTTATTTCTTCCTACTCACCCCTGTGTTTCCTGCTTTACCTGCTTCCATTTCCCTCTCGTTTTGCGTGCAAGTCCAGTGTAAAGGAAGACGCAGCTCAGAGATATCTATGGCTCTCGTTTTTGAGAATTGGCACGCAAACTGAAAATAGATTCTTGAGAGACGAACGGTTGTCTTTAGGCATGATTAAAATAATAACATAAATTATGCCTTTTTCTTACTCACGGAGGCCCTACTGAGTCTTGGGCTCTGTTTTATGAGGGTCCTGCACTGGGACGTTTTGGCAGTTCCTTTAACGAGTGTGGTGTATGGGAGGAGACCGGAATACCTGGAGAAAACCCACACATGGAAGGAATCAATAATCTATTTCTACCCAAGTCAGGCTTGTACATTAACTAAACAATGTGTTGTTTGACATCTGATAGGAAGGTGGAGAATCTGGAGCAAACCCATGTATCTTCTTTGGTTCTTTCGGTAAAGTCACGTAGAATGAGAATAAAATAATAAAATAAAACAATAAAATTCTCACAACATTTTGGCCACAACACAAGTGGCCTTCTTCAGGTGAAAGGAACAAACCTGTCGGGACGACAGAGCTACAATGAACGCTGCTAATATTCGCAGCGTCTTTTAAGCCGGTTGAGAGAAGTGAGGCACCTTGACAAAGGGGTTTACATATCAAACAGGAGAATTTAGCATTGAAACAGTTGAGAGATTAGCTTGTGACTGGTCACAGAAATAGCTATGTTAAAATCAAAGCCTACACATCCACAGAAGCACCTCGTACATGGACGACAAAGGGGCTGCAACAACTCAACTATCATACAGTAAACCGATGTGAAAAAAAACCTAAGTCTAAATTACATCAATATAATAAATGTACTCAATATATTCTTCAATAAGCAGAGCTATTAACAGCAACTGGGTATACACTACACTATATAATGAATACCATATAGTAAACAGATAAAAAACTAAAATATAAACTACCTCAATGTTATCAATAAACTCTATATATTCTCCAATCAGCTGAGCTACCAACAATAAGTCGTTATATATCACGATGCTATATGGCGAAAAAATGGGTGGATTCTCACCCTCCACATCAGCACCACGGACCGCTACGAGCCCCGTTCAGATGGACGAGTCCATCATGGTCGGAACAGAGGAGAGAAACAGCTGCGAGGCGCTGTTATAATCATGTTATAAACCATACCATGAACCGTGGTGTGAGAAGTATTAAGAGTCAATGCCAGCGAAAGAGCTGTGGTCTGAAGGTCACCATTAATTAAGAACCGAAATGGTTTAAAACATCTTTCCAATGGTTACTAAGCCAGAATCCATCTTCTCGGTTGAAATTGTCTCTGTGCTTGTATATGTGGATAGCCTCATGAACGAATCTCTAATGGTAGCCGGTTGGCTTGCAAAGAAACTCCGTCTTGGAGAAGTCAATGTCATGTGAGCCCACTGAATTATAACAGTGATCTGCCACGGCGGAGGAGTTCGTTCTACCGTGTTTCAAGTCTGCTTTATGTTCGCGGATGCGGTCCGAGATATGTCGTTTGGTTTCTCCAATGTAGCTACTACCACAGAGGCACTTTAGTTTGTAAACGCCCGGGTACTGTATGTCTGGAACAGCATCTTTTACAGATGGAACAATTGCTCACCTTACATCTCCTGGCCACCTGACAGCCCAAGTCTACAACACCTTGTATTACCAGGAAATCTCTCCACAAAAAAATAAACACGTTCTATACTGCTAGACTATTAATAGCTGCGACCTGAAGTTGATTTGGTTGAGAAAGCTTAGAAGTAGTTCATCTTCCCCTTCTTCAGCCCTTAACAAAGCTGGTGATTCGGACTGATTAGTTCCGTCACTTCGTTGTTACTCTTTTATCGTGTTTACCATGGTCATTCTCTTGATTTAACTTTTTTCTCTCGCTCTGTGACCGATCACCATATTGCGGGACAAATAATTTATCTTCTGTCCTCAAAACTGTTCAGCTTTGGATTCCCTTCTCTCGTCTCATTTTCCAAGATCCGATAACTTTCTTCAATTCAAGAAAGATGTAAGACCTCAACTGCTGGTCTCTTGCAGGCCACTTTGTTGTTGGCCTTTTGGGCCTGTGCTCAGCAACTGCGATCAACATGCACAGAAAGGAAGGAGTTTCTGACCATCTGATGGAGCCCAACTCTAAAACGTCTCTCAAGAATGTCTCCTCGATTGTTTATCCCAAAACTCATAATAATGGCTCTTACCTTTTAGCTGCGCACCTCAGCCATGTGCCACGCGAGCTGTCCCTGCTGTGTGTAAAGCTTCGTGAATGAGAAAAACAAGACGTGGAAGTCAGCCCAGGTCCACAGTTATAGCCGTCACGTGGTTGTCACTGCATTAATGTGTGGAAACGCACCGCGGTGACATCACTCGAGTGGCCTCAGGATATTCTTAGCTAGAACCTATAAAGACTTTTTTTTTTGTTAATGCACGTGTCGTGTGGCTCGCGTCTGTCGTTAATCAAACACCTCGTTCATGTTTGTGTGTGCGTGCCCATGGACGTGTGTGTGTATTCGTCTGTGCATGTGCATACATGTGTGTGTGTATTCGTATGTGCATGCATGTGTGTATTCGTCTGTGCAAGTGCATGCATGTGTGTGTATTCGTGTGTGCATGTGTGTGTATTCGTGTGTGCATGTGCATGCATGTGTGTGTATTCGTATGTGCATGCATGTGTGTATTCGTCTGTGCATGTGCATGCATGTGCTTGTTTCTGTCTGTGTATTTGTATGTATCAAAACAAATTGTAGTAGTTCTAGATTTGAAGCTTTCATGACTGCAAGGATTCATACTCTTTGGTTTTTTCGGTAAAGTCACGTAGGTAAAATAAAATAAATGAAAACAACTAAAATAAATCACGATGTTTCGGAGGCAAAAGAAGCTTCCGTCTTCAGGTGGAACAGACACAGCAAAATTAGCTGTATCAAGTGAGCAGCTCTGGGACACATGAGATTATATACAGGTTAAGGGGGGGGAGGAGCCAGGAAGGGACGTGGGTGGGGAGGGGGGCGGCTAAGTTAAGCCGCCTTTTGTTATTCTGCAGGGGGTTCTGGGGGAAGCGGTGGTGTACTTGCACGTAAAACCACCTTTTGTTACGCTGCAGGGGGTTCGGGGGGAGGGTGATGGCGTGCTGCACGAGAGCGAGTACAATCCTGGTAGAAACGAAAATGGCTGTATAATTATAAGCCAGCTAAAGTTTGACTTGGTTGATGACATCTTTCCAAAAGTTGCTCAATTTAAAACCATCCTCTCGGTTGAAGTTGTGTATATGTTTGTATATCTGGATGGCTTCATGGACATATCTCTGGTAATAACCGGGAGGTTTGCAGAGTACTTTGGTATCGGAGAAAATAATGTCATGAGAACCCGCTGTGTTGAAACAATGATCAGCCACGGCCGAAGAATTGGTTCTGCCGTGTGTCAATGATTTGTGCTCGCGAATTCGGTCAGAAATGTCGTTTCGTCTCCCCGATATAGCAGTCACCACAGGTACAACTCAATTTGTAAACACCGGGGTACTGTAAGTCAGGAATGACATCCTTTACGGATGGGATCAGATCACGGATTTTGTGTACTGTATTGAACCGGACCTGGATCTTGTGTTTGTTTAGAATTTTGGAAATCTTTTTGGTAATGCCTGCTATGTATGGCAGTGTGATGGTTTTTATCGGAGTATCAGGTGGTTGTTTCTGTATGGTGGGAGAAACAGCTTGGCGGATAGTATGGTCAGCGTATCCGTTCATCTTGAGGGCCAGATGTACATGTTTTAATTCACTGGCCAGGTGGTGTTGGTCAGAAATGCAATGAGCCCTATGGTATAATTCTTTTGAGCCGGGTGGTGGTGGAAATCAGGCTTCAAGTATGAATCTAATCAGGCTTCAAGTATGAATCTGTGTGGGTGGACTTCCTGTAAACAGAATGTCCCAAAGAGCCATCAAATCCGTGATCTGATCCCATCTTTAAAGGATGTCATTCCTGACTTACAGTTCCCCGGTGTTTACAAATTGAGTTGTACCTGTGGTGACTGCTATATCGGGGAGACGAAACGACATTTCTGACCGAATTCGCGTGCACAAATCAGATTTGAAACACGGCAAAACCAATTCTTCGGCCGTGGCTGATCATTGTTTCAACAGTGGGTTCTCATGACATTATTTTCTCCGATACCAAAGTACTATGCAAACCTCCCGGTTATTACCAGAGATTTGTCCATGAAGCCATCCAGATATACAAACATAGACACAACTTCAACCGAGAGGATGGTTTTAAATTGAGCAACTTTTGGAAAGATGTCATCAACCAAGTTAAACTTTAGCTGGCTTATAATTATACAGCCATTTCCGTTTCTACCAGGATTGTACTCGCTCTCGTGCAGCACGCCATCACCCTCCCCCCAAAACCCCTGCAGAATAACAAAAGGCGGCTTAACTTAGCCCCCCCCCTCCCCACCCACGTCTCTACCTGGCTCCTCCCCCCCCTTAACCTGTATATTATCTTGTGTGTCCCAGAGCTGTTCACTTGATACAGCTAATTTTGCTGTGTCTGTTCCACCTGAAGACAAAAGCTTGTGTTGCCACCGAAACGTCGTGATTTAATTTAGTTGTTTTCATTTATTTTATTTTACCTACGTGACTTTACCGAAAAAACCAAAGAGTATAAAGTGTAGTAGTTCACGCACTGTGCTACAAACCCGGCGGTCCAAGTTAGATTCACAATTTTGGGCAACTTAGGTGACGGATATCTGAACTGTGCCTGGCCTCCCATAATTTCACTCAACCTTAAATGAGTGCCTGGTGTGATGTGTAAACATTAGCACTGGGGAGACAAAGGTGACCATGCGTAGGACTAGCCACACCACACAATTGTGTGCTCTACCAGCCTGCATAGGTGTGTGTGTGTTTTAAGAAGGGGGATTGTACTAATTATACTAACGACCAGGGCATTTCCCTCTTCAGTGTGCCGGGAATGGTCCTGGAAAGGATTATTTAACATCGGCTTGCCAGGCACGCTGAAGAGAGGCTTTGCAAACTCTCAATGTGGTTTCAGACTGGGGTGGCCCTGTACAGACGGCATATTCTCTGTCGATCTGGTACAGCAGTGTTGTAGGAAATTGCAACGGGACCTACATATCTGCTTTGTTGCTGCTGAACCTGGAGCATGCCATTAAGAGGTGGCGCCTTACTATTATAAGGTGGAGGTCTTACCAAAACCCAGCACCTGCCTGGGTATTTTGTTTCATCCAATAATACACCCCCTCAAGTCCCCATGGAATGATTGGGCGTAGTTGGGCAGCGTGCTTATGACCAACTCCGGTTCGGCAACAGAGGTCTTGCTCTGAATCAGTCGAGCAGCATTATATTTTCGTCAGCTGCGCAATGCTGTGTGGAAGCTACTTGGTTGTTCCACATGAAGCTTCAGCTCTTCTCGGCCATGGTTATTCCCTCCCTTCTCAAAGCTGGGCATGGTGCGGGCCACCCTCCCCCCCCCTCCGCTTGGGTGCCGTGCCAGCCTTTGTAGGCCTACTCGCTAACAGCACTTGCGCCAGCAGTTTGTTAAGGTTATACGGGGGAACTTTGTCTTTGATTTTTGCGTTTCTCTGTGTGTGTGTGTATGTGTAGCACCCGAGCTGGATGAGGCTGTGGTAAGCCAGCTGTGTGAGATGGGCTTCCCCGCGGACGCCTGCCGCAAGGCCGTCTACTTCACGGGGAACGCCGGCGTGGAGCCCGCCATGAACTGGGTCATCACGCACATGGAGGACCCAGGTAGGCGGCGCTGCTCACTCTTGCTTCCCTCCACTTCTCCCTCTCGTTTCTGTCTCGCTTCCCTCCGCTTCCCTCCATGTCTTTCTCTCTCTTCCCTTCCGCTTCTTCCTCTCGCTTCCCTTCGCTTGCCTCCGTTTCCCTCCACTCCTCCCTCCTGTTTCTTTCTTGCTTCACTCGCTTGCGTCCCTCCGCTTTTCTTGCCTGCTTTTCCCTCTCGCTTCTCCCCGCTTCTCTTGCTTCTGTGCACTTCCCTCCGCTTCTATCGCTCACTCCACTCCTCTTCCCCCCCCCCCCCCCCCCGATGCTGCTCACATTCGGTTCTCTCATGCGCTCCTCCCCCCACCGTCATTAGATTTCGCGGAGCCGCTGATGCTGGGCAGCTCGGGGGCGGCAACGCCGTCGGGGGGGGCCCGCACCCCCCAGGAACCGCCCCCCCCAGATGAAGAGAGTGTAGCCATGATTGTGTCGATGGGGTTCACTCGCGAGCAGGCGGTGAGGGCACTCCGAGCCACGGTGAGCAACCTGCGTGCACCACGCACCGCACGCTCCCTACACCCTGCACACGCACACCACAGATTTGTACGGCAAGTGCTATTGGCGGGCACCGATTAAGACCGGTACGGCACACCTATGAGAGCGTGGTGTGGTTAACACCACGTCTGGCCATCTTTGTGTTCCCAGTGCTGATGTTTCATGCACACTGCACCAAGAACTCATTTAGGGCTGACTCAACCTAGGAGAGGCCCAGGACCAGATCAGGACCTTGTACCTTAATTCACATTTACACATGAACATGTAATTACACACTTAGAACAAATGAAATTTCCCACTAAGTGGCAGTGTCAATATCATGTCACTTGTGCCAGGTTCGGTGCACACACGCGCACACCATGCGGTAGAAATTCCATTGCTGTGCCGTCACCTCTTCCTTGGTCCCTCCCCACCTCCCCCTCTCCAGAGTAACAACCTCGAGCGTGCAGCTGACTGGATATTCAGCCACGCTGACGACCTGGATGCAGTCGCCATGGAGACATCGGAGGGTGGTTCCCGTGGCGACCCAGCGAGCGAGGCTCACACGCCGGCCGGGCCTCGCGTGCGCGACGGACCCGGGCGTACGCGCACTGCCTCGCTTTCACCCTCTCACTTATCTGTTCACAAATTTACTTACTCATTCAATTATTTGTTCCTGCATTCTTGCATCCACTCATTCATGTATACCATTCACCCATTTATTAATTCATCCGTTTAACACGTAGGCTTTCGCGACCAATATTATTCAATATTAATTCATCCATTGACTCATTCATTTACTCACTCAGCCATTCACTAATTTGTTCATTCATTCACTCATTGTGTGTGTACGTGTACAGGCTACCGCCTGTTCGCCTTCATCAGCCACATGGGCACTTCCACCATGTGCGGCCACTACGTGTGCCACATCCGCAAGGAGGGCCGGTGAGTGAACACAACATCAGAGAGGTCCCACAGACAAGCTGGAAGGCAACCAGAAACTGCCACCAACAATTGCCCAAGCTCTGGTCTGCCAGTCGAGTAGGGGGATACTTGCTATGTATAATCCCAGTTTATCAATATGCGGTGTAGTTTTTAAAATTTGGATCATGATGCCAGCACATAATGGCCTATTCTTACCAGATACCATGGAATATTTATGTATTTATGGTTAATAGACCCCGCATTAATTATTAATCAGGGCGGCAGCTGGATTCGAACAGTGAGCGTTGTGGGTGGCTTGTGGCAGAGCACCACAATCTCGGCACGAGCTGCTTTGGGCGGCATTTGAAACGTCCGCATGCCACGTTCAGCAGCAGTAGCAACGGCAGTGGAAGCGTGCTCCTTCCGCTCGTGGAATTCCCATTGCTTGCCCTCGTGTGGCGAGACGAGCAGTAGTGAAGGAATCTGTGATACCAACATAATTTGGCTCTTCTCCAGCAGCTATGCTTCCAGCCGCTATTCGTCACACACAGCTCTGCTCTCCTAGCTACACTTACAGATGGTGTGACGAACATTCCTTTATCCAGGGCAGGAGGGAAAATTGTCCCTGCTAGCATGGATAAGACATAATTTAAAGGGGAACTAAAAATTAATGCTGTCATATGCACGTCCAAGAACCATTCTCTTACATGGGGTTACATTGCACTTTGAGGGTTCTAAGTGGATTCATCGTATCTTTACATGAACAAAAACATCGATAAACCCTCATAATAGGTGACCAAACCCTAACCTCCCATCTCGCTCTCTCCCCTGTCACGCCTGACCCCACAGCTGGGTGATCTTCAACGACCAGAAGGTGGCGGCTTCTGAGAAGCCTCCTAAAGACCTTGGATACATCTACTTCTACGAGCGTGTGGCAAGCTAGGGCAGGGGGAGTGGTGAGATTGAGGGAGTGGTGAGCTAGGAGGGGTGGTGAGCTATGGAAAGTGATGAGCTAGAGGAAGTGGTGAGCTATTACCTGTGATGCAACAGACTGTGGCTCTCGGCATCGCAGGCGTCACTCACTTAAGCAATATAAAGGTCTTGTCAATGCCCGGGTGTTTGCCTGTGTGGATCACGGCAGCAGGGAGGTGAACGGTGAATCGCCGGCAATACCGAGTTATGGCATGAGCCAGACGCCGCTTATCCTGGTGCCGGAAGTGTGAATGTGACACCAGCACTACCACCGCTACCACTGGACCACCACTACCACCCCCAGCACTACCCCTACCCAACACTACCACTTCCCGGCACTACCCCACCCAGCAGTACCCCTGCCTAGCACTACCACCACCCGGCACAACCACCACCCAGCACCGCCACCACTACCCCCACCCAACACCGCCACCACGACCACCACCCAGCACTACCACCACCCTGCAATACCACCTCTACCATCACCGAGCACTACCTTCACCCAGTACTACTACCACCACTACCACCATCCAGCACTACTACCCCTGCCAGCACCCTGCACTACCAGCTCCCATCACTACTGAGTGGAGAATCGCATGCTCTCTGCCGATGGCGCCGCAAAGAGCTGAACAACTTGTGGCTTAAGTCTTGCCACCACCTCCCCACCGATTGCTCCCACCTTTCTGGGATCCTGGGAGGGAGACAATACATTGAGATTCACCCTGTGTGGTGAACTTCGGCACAGTGCTGGGATTCGGTGCAAACCCGTGAGATTTGGCACAGGGTATCGAGATTCGGTGCGTGGTGGTGAAAATTCGATCATCGTGCATTGAGGTATTGTGTTGCGTGTAAAGGTTCCACATTACATTGAATTTGTCCCTGGAGTTGCTACCTGTCCAGGTTTGATACGGACATCCCGGGACTGGTATCTGTGTGCGGGTGGCAGGAATTGACTTGTGCTGAGATCTGTGGCCAGTATTGATGGTTTCATGACAGTTTACTGCACAGTTTTGATATGCCCAGGCTGAGAATATAGGCGTGTTTGGGCTGCAGTGGGAGAGCTCGTGTGACCCTATTGCGGATGGCACGATACCGATTGGCACAGCACGATGGTCCAGATTTCGCGCCGATTTTATCGGCCCAAAACCCTACCCCCTTCCCTTGAGGAATGCTACACACTGTCGAAACTACACGCGGTGCCAAACCCTGACCATTGCTTTCCTTTTGCGAGGGTTGTGCCGACTCAGCTGGCGCCACACGTGTGGGTGCTACTGGCAAGAGGGGAGTGGCGGTCGTGAGAGGTGGTGGCGGCGGCGGCGGCGGCGGTGGTGGTTGTTGCTGTTTTTTGGGTTTGGATTTTTTTTGTATTGTGTTCCTCGACTGCCTGCCGCCCCTTTTCAGTGCGCCTCGGTGTCTCCCGGTCGCCCCGTGGAGGGATAAGAGATGCTGCACCTCGTGGGCTTTTTCCCCGCGCGTCATTTAAACGAGCGTTGCGTGGCAGCTTGTGCAAATAAAAAAAAGGTGGCTGAACCGCCGGTGCCTCCCGATTCCTTCTGCGTCGTACTTTGCCGATTCACTTTTTGCCTGTTCAGCCCTTTAATCCACTGCTGGATGAGCCCCCCCCCCCCCCCCCATGCCGTGTAGGTCATGCGGTTTGTTAGACCGTACTTCAACACGCTGCTTAGCCCGGGTTTTTGAAGGTGGGGTCGGCCCAGAACCGGTTCCAGATATCACTCGCTCCTTGATGTTCACCTTAACCAGGAACATAACTAAGGTGGTCGAGTTCGTCACGCAGTGCGCTCACCGCTCCAACCGTGACTGACACGGCTGAGTGACAGCTGAAGCGGTTTTGAGCCCCCCCACCTACACCAATCCACACATAACGGCCCGATGACATATGTCCAAATAACCCCCATGACCGACACCGTACGTGGGACCATCCAGCAGTGGCATAAAACGTCTGAAATTTTTGGCCGCGTCTTGGTGTGAATGTTTTTGAGTGGTGTGGGTCAGACTGGGAAAGGATGGTGTCGTATTCTTGTCCTTTTAATGTAGGTTTCTACGTCCTCTCGGAATCGAAACTAAATCGGCTCAAGCCTCCCATTCGGAATCCCCACAACCACCCCCAATGGAGAAAAAAAAACACGCCGCTTATCCGTGCAGCTCCCTTCTGCTCTCTCCGTAGAACTCCCTCTCATTTTCTTCATCACCCTCTCATCCCTGACAGCTCGGCCCAGTCATTCCTTCCCTTCACGGTGCTCATTTCTTCCTGCTGCTCGTTTTGAGCCATGCCCTCCTGGAGAATTCCGTCCCGGCTTCCCTGCGCTTTCCCCCTCATCTTGTTCTGCCCTTTATCGCAAGCAACGACTTTTCCCTGCCCGTCGTGTGCCACGGGTTACGCGGTTCTCTGTCGCAAATTAAAACCATTCGCGTCGTGTTGGGACAGTACAAAATATTTAAACAGGCAATTGCCTCCACGTCATTTATCTGTCCCTGCACACGTGAACAATACAAGCTGTATACAATTCTACGCATCCCATCGGCAGCAATGGTGCAGTGTTTTGTGGGGAGAGGCAGCTGTGTGGGCAGGGAGCGTGGAACGAGTTCCTCCAGCGGAGCCCCCAGGGCACGTGACGACGACAGCGAGCAGCCGTTACTTTGGCGCAGCCGTTACGTCTCGCGCTGAAGGCGTAGAGGACGCGGATGCGCGCACAGAGACGAAATGCCGTCTATCCACCCCTTCTTCCGTGCTCTCCCACTGCTGCTGCTCGTCCCAACCGCGTGTGAGTGCTACTGGTCGAGCCAAAGTGATTTCCCCGCTCAAGAAGAGCCAGCTGAGGCGGTGCTCACTGTCCTCAGCCGGTGGCGGGCAGGCAGGTGGGCGGGTTCGAGTCTCCAGAGCACAGCCACTGATGACCTCCCCACGAAGTGGCTCTCGTTTTGTCAACCCCAGAGGGAGGGAGGGAGGATGGGCTGAGACAACCCCCTGACCAGGATTTGAACTCCCAACCTTCCGATTGTGAGCCGCTCTCTCTCCTGCTGAGCCACAGGGCCGGGTAATGATGATGATGATGGTGGGTCGATGGAGGTGATTTGAACATCACTAACCAACGTGGTGAAGTTTGGTCAAACTATCCATGACAGACACGGTGTCGGGCCGGCCTCCATCCAGCAGTAGATTGATCAGTGACTGTTCCCTCTCAATCATCAGTTTGGTTGAGAGGGAACAAAAGATATTAACAATGTAAACAAAAACACTATTAAATAACATTAAAGGGTTCGAGTGATATATGTGTAGTGGGCTCAAACGGAGACTCAGACGTACTCTTGTAGGCACTGTCAGAGCCAGTGGGGGGGGGGGGGGGGGGGGCACGTTCCCCCCCAATGATTCGATCGAAATCCCTAATTTCGATCGGATCATTTGGGTTTATTAGTAATACATCGGCATTTTGCGATCCCCACTGTGTAGTATATTATGTGCTAGGGACTTTATGAGATGATAGGACCATAGTCTGAGTCCATAATTGGCAATAAGTAACGGCAAAGTTATAAGTGACTCACAGAATTGTGCGCAGTCGCGTATACAGTCCACGACTTCCCTGAAGGCATTCACCTTCAGCGAGCGCGATGGCGATCACACAACGCGGTTCGAAATCGACCCTCGATCGATGGCTGCGCCATCGCCGCACACGCGTCCAATAAAAAGCAAGGGACAAGTCCTTACTAACAACTCCTCTATCATTTTTCATTGCTGGAGGGGTTGCCCCCCCTACCTGAAAATCCTGGCTCCGCCATTGAGTTGGAGACAACACGTGATATTAACATTAACACGTAATACAAAGGGGTAACTGGCCCTTCACCAGATAGTAAGCTATGGTGGTGGACCACCAGGCTATCTAGGCTACCACGCGTAACTAGCTACAGCGAACCGGACCCCAACTCGGGTCCGAGTCCCCGTACTGGAGACTCTGTAGAACGTGGAACGTGGACGTGGAGTCTTCAGGATAACAACAGCAGCCGGTGCCGCTCAGGGCTCCTCCGGGTGAGAGCCTGTGTGGCGGGGCTCGCTCCGCCCCTAGCCACGCCCACCTTCTCCAAACCTCAATTAGCATCTTCACTCTTGATTTGAAGCTTTCGTGACTGCAGGAATCCATACTCTTTGGTTCTTTCGGTAAAGTCACGTGTTTGTTTAAGATTTTGGAAATCTTCTTCGTAACCCCTGCTATGTATGGCAAAGTGATGGTTGTGGTTGGATCCTCAGAAGGTTGTCTCCCCATGGCTGGGGAGGCAGCTTTGCAGATTGTACGGTCCGAGTATCCGTTCATCCTGAGGGCTTGGTGTACGAGCTCTAACTCACTAGCTAGGTGGTGCTGGTCGGAGTTCCACTGCTGGATTATATTTTTTTCTGCCTGAGGACGACTGCTTGTGTTGCGATCGAAACGTGATTTATTTTATTTTATACCTACGTGACTTTACCGAAAGAACCAAAGAGTGAGGATCTTCACCTCACCTCAGCCCCCCTTAGGGGCTCCCCCGGTCGATACCTCCGGTTACGTGTCCTCCGGAGTAAAACCAGAGTGCCATGGCCCCCTTTAATCCCCGTTCCGTGCCCGGCACCCTCGCACCCCATCCTCCAGGGGCTGCCACAGCATGCAGCGCGTGGTGCCAGCCGTCGCTGTCAGTCAGCACTCGCCGAGCCCCGCTTATCCAACACATCTGACACTTGGCCCCCGCGTTGTGGAGATGGGATGAATACACGCGGGGCGATTGAAGGGTTTTAAGCACGAGGGATGCACAAACCAGCTCCACCAGCCGAACTGAATCTGAACACGCTGCGGTCGGACAACCCGAATCACATCTACCGGTCCCCTCCAGGGTTTAACCAATTTTGGACGACGTCCCCGCCGGCACCTGTGGACAGTGTGGCCAGGCTCTGTCACCTGCAACCCATTCATAGGCGGAAGTATGGAGACCCCTTAGCCACTCATTAGCCAATTGGCGTGATGTCGAATTTTCTCTGGCAGCGTCGCGCGCTTTTGAAAGCTTTTGAAGGGTAAGGCGCATGGCATCCGAGATTTTTGACTTAGCCTCGTTTGGCACGACCAATAGTTGGACATCAATTGGGGGGTCACGGTCTCTGCCGTACATAAAAAAAAACGGCAATTAGCCGGTGGATGCGTGTGGAGCCATTCTGTAGGCAGCCAGGACCCCGGGAACATGCAAGTTCCAGTCAAGCTGTGACTCGCTGACCGCGTGGCTCAGCATTGAAGTCAGAGTCTCCACCATTCCATCCGCCAGGGGGTGGTATGGAGACATGCACATTTTCTCAGTTCCCAATAAGTCGCACACCTCCCGCAGCAATTTGGAGGAGAAATTATTGCCCTGGTTGGTTAAAAGACGCTCAGGGGCACCCTTGTCCAATACGTATCCATTAAAGAACGCATCGGTGATGGCCGCCGCTGATTGATTGGAGAGTGGCCAGGCCATCAGCCAGCGTGAAAAATATTCGACACCGACTAACAAATATTTATTCCTCCGCGGGGTGGTGGGAAACAAACCAAGGACATCTAGAGCGACCAACTCATTAATGCGGGGGACCTGAATTGATTGCAACGGCAGACAACAGGGCCTGGCTGGGATTTTCTGCCACGCACACTTGCACGCATCCCTTCAGCAAATCAGCGACATCCTCTGCCATGCCCGGCCAGAAGAAGTGAAGCTGGAGCGTGGCAAGAGTTTTGTGCACACCCAAGTGCTACAGCCGCTCGTGTACTGCCCAAACAATCTTACCCCGTAGGGCGGTGGGCACAACAATATTGTAACGGCGCAAGCCTCCATCTCACCACATCAACAGCCCATCCCGCAGGACAACGGAGGCTACACCGCAACGAACCCCACCCCCATCCGTTCCCTTGACGCGGCGGCACAGCTTAACCAGGGAGGCGTGTTCAACCTGGAAGTGCCCCCACTCCGCGAGGGCTATGCCAAGGACGGCGTCACGCGCCACGGGACCATCGGCTCCATCGGAGGTGTCCACCTCAGCCGCCGCCGCCGCAAGGGGTGGGGGGCGAGTTCTCGGTCGGCCGGAAAAAAAACACGCACCTGTCGCTCGATGGCAATCGCGACAGGGCATCCGTGTTCGTATGCTGGGTGCCTTTCCGATAGGAAACCGTAAAGGAGTAGTCCTGGAGGACCTCCAACCAACGCAAAAGTTGGCCTGATGGCTGTTCAATGCGCAACGCACACTATATAGCTGCATGGTCGGAGCGTACCATAAAGCGTCTGCCATACAAGTAGGGGCTATACTGTTGCACGAAAAAAACTATCGCGAGGAGTTCCCGGCGTGTGACTGAGTATCACTGCTCGGCCGGCGACAGCACTATGCTGCCATATGCGACAACGCTCTCCACCATTGACAACTTGAGACAGCACAGCGCCAATTCCGGTGTTACTCGCGTCCGTATCAAGGACGAACGGCGAGTTCAGTTCAATTCCTGGCCATAGCCAACTTCAGTGGTGAGTGAGATATGAACTGTGCCTT